TTCTTCTTTTTGGGAGAAAAGGTTCCCTGGAGTTTAATTCAGGAAGTTAAATTCACCAGGTTAATCTACCAGTTAAATTAAGCAAGTTCGACACCATGGCTGGTTTTTTGGCGGGGCAAGTTCTGAACCGCCTTAATAGCCCAAAAGAATTGCGAACGTGCCCAACCCCAGTCGACCGGTGCCCTCCCTCTCAATATTAGGTGCATCTCCCCCAGTTCTCCCCCCATTCCCCCATTTTCCCCCTACAATTTCGGCCTCCATCTCCGCTTCCATTTCCGCCTCCATCTCCGCCTCATTCTCCCCCTCCATCTCCCCCCATCTCTCCCCGTCTCTCCCCATATCTCCCCCCAGGTGCTGCTCGACCCTGCCAAGCCGCAGCCGCCACACGCGGTGCGCCGCCGCGCCGCCGCCGCCAGACGGGGAGATATGGGGAGATATGGGGAGATATGGGGAGATATGCGCCGCCGCCCGACGGGGGGCGGGCTCCCCTCCCCATGACCGGGAGCTCTGCAAGCTGTCTTGGGTGGTAAGAGGAGAGGGGCAGAGGGAGTCGGAGGGAGGGGTATGGTGTGGAGGAAGTTGGATGGACAGGGTAGGGGGGTGGCGGGAGGTGGAGGGAGGTGGTGGGAGGTGGTGGGAGGTGTAGGGAGGTGTAGGGCGCTAGCATGATCCTGTCTCTCGGAGGCTGCTCGCAGGAGCGGCACAGCTACGTCGTGGTGGAGGAGAACGAGTGGCAGCTCCCCCTCGCGGCGATGACCTTTGCGACGCCGGGGGCGGAGGTGCAGGAGGCGGCCGAGGCGGCGCGGCGGGCGCAAAGCATCGCGCAGCACGCGGAGGCCTGAGACATGGGGAGATATGGGGAGACATGGGGAGACATGGGGAGACATGGGGAGACATGGGGAGACATGGGGAGATATGGGGAGATATGGGGAGATATGGGGACCAGCTCTGCCGCGTGTAGCTAGGCGGAGGCGGCGAAGGCGATGAAGAAGGCGCGCGTGATCCAGCTGCTGCTGCGCGGCGACATCTTCGACGCGTCGGAGCTGTACCAGTCTGTGCTCAACCCGCAGGCCTGCCACCGCCACCGTCGTCGCCCCTCCCCACCCCGCCTCCCCACCTTCGCCCTGCCGCCGCCCCACCGCCACCGTCGTCGCCCTCCCCCCCCCACCCCCTCCCTGCCCCACCCCCGCCTCCCCACCCCCGCCCTCGCCGCCGCCGCCCGCAGGCCGGCCTCGGCCGCGTAGGCCACGCGCCGGGCTGGGCGGACGAGCTCTGCTTCTACCTCCGCGACGTCGAGCGCGACACGGTGATCGCCCTCCCTCTCCCAGGGCGTGACCCCGTCCTCGCCACTCGAGGACCTCACTCATCGGCAATGATAGGTGATCGCCCTCTTTCCGGGCGTGATCCCGTCCGTCCCGCTCTCCGCCCTGCAGTCTGGCCAGCTCAAGGGCCGCCTCGAGTCTCCCGCGACATCGAGCTGCGGCTCGGAAACCGACGCGGTCACCGCCATCACTGACCATTAGGCCCGCTCTCGCACGACGAAGTGTTCCGTCTCCGGCAAAAATGGCAGGGAGGAAGTGCCCCCTCAGGGGGGGCGTACCCTGCGCGGCCGCCGCCGCCGCCGCCGCCGCCCCCCCCTAGCTACTCCTCCGGCTCCTCTGGTGGGCCGGCAGCCGCCGCAACCATCCAGGCAGCCGGCGCGGCTGGCGCCAGCGAGAGTGCAAGCGCCGGCGCCAGCCAGTGGCTCACTGCCAGTGCCGACGAGCCCACCCGAGAGGTCCTCCGGCGCCAGGGCAGGCCCGACGCCAGCTCCAGCTCCAGCAGCGCCAGCGCCAGCGCCAGCGCCAGCGCCAGCGCCAGCGCCAGCGCCAGCTCCAGCTCATGGGACCTCAACCAAGCCATCGACGCGCAAAAGGCAAGCCTCAAGCAGGAGCAGGAGCAACAGCTCGCTAGCATCGGAGGCGCTGGCATCGGAGGGGCGCTGGTCCGAGGGCCGCTGCCGCCGAGCGCGCGCGGCGTCGACCCGGAGCCATACGTGCCGGCCCCGCCCGAGCTCTTCCCTTGGCCCGCAAACGCGCGAGTTCGGCGGGCGGCCAACGCCGTGTCCTGGACATGCCGATGACATGCCCTTGGCCCTTCCCGCCAGGCGCGGCACGGCAAGCGGCCTCGCGCGTTGCAGTGCGCCCCTGGCGACACCGTCGATGCGGAGGTGCTCCGGCAGCAGGCGGCGCGCGCACGCGCCGAGGCGGAAAGGGCGCTGGCGCGTGCGCGCGCAGCGCGTGCGGCGCTGCGGCAGCGAGCGGCGGAGCGCGCCACGGAGCGCGCTGCCGGCCCGCCGGGCGCTCCCTCATCGCTCGCCCCGCAGCCGCCGCCTCGGCCGCCGCCGGCGGAGGTGCCGCCGGCAACCGTGCAGGCATCGTTGGCAGTCTCGGCTCCACCTCGGCTCCACCTCGGCTGTCGGCTCCACCTCGGCTGTACCTCGGCAGTGCCTCGGCTGTGCCTCGGCTGTACCTCGGCGCTGCTCCCGTCTCGGCCAGGCGGTCGTCAAAGAGCTGCGAGGCCTAACTTCGAGTCGGCTCGAGGCGGAGAGCCTTCCGGAGCTATGAGCTAGTCCATTGACTGAGTCAGCTGAATGAGTGCGTTCACTGCTCGAGGCGGAGAGCCTTCCGGAGCTATGAGCTAGTCCATTGACTGAGTCAGCTGAATGAGTGCGTTCACTGCTCGAGGCGGAGAGCCTTCCGGAGCTATGAGCTAGTCCATTGACTGAGTCAGCTGAATGAGTGCGTTCACTGCTCGAGGCGGAGAGCCTTCCGGAGCTATGAGCTAGTCCATTGACTGAGTCAGCTGAATGAGTGCGTTCACTGCTCGAGGCGGAGAGCCTTCCGGAGCTATGAGCTAGTCCATTGACTGAGTCAGCTGAATGAGTGCGTTCACTGCTCGAGGCGGAGAGCCTTCCGGAGCTGGCCGTCACCCTGCCCGACGAGTCCAACGTGCTGCGCTGGCGGGTCGAGATGAGCGTGCCGGCCGGCTGCGCGCTGCGGGACGAGGTCGAGGCTCACGCCGCCGCGTTCCACGTGCGGCCGACGGCGGAGCCTTCGCATCCACGGGACCTGCTCGGAACCTTCTCGGAAGCGTGCTGTGCAGGTGCGGCCGACGGTTGAGCTCGAGGTGTCTTTCGGCGCGGACTTCCCCTCCTCGCCGCCCTTCTTGCGGGTGGTCGCGCGAGCCATATCTCGGCTGCATCTCGGCTGCATCTCGGCTGCATCTCGGCTGCATCTCGGCAGGTGGTCGCGCCGCGCTTCGCCTTCCACACGGGCCACGTCACTGTCGGCGGGTCGATCTGCATGGAGCTGCTCACGTCGAGCGGGTGGCGCTCCGAGTACACCGTCGAGGCGGCGCTGCTCATGGTGCGTGCGCAGGCTGCTCCCTCGCACGGCGGCGAGGGGGTGCGACTCTTCACGGCCCAACGGGTGAGCAGGTGCGGCAAGCCTTCCTCGACGGCAGCGGCCGGCTCGATCAAGCAAGGGCGCACGTCCCCTACGACGAGGCGGAGGCGCGGCAGGCTTTCGCCCGCGTCGCGGCGCAACACGGCTGGCGGCCCTGACTTAGATTGGAGGCGGGGTCCGGCTGTCCGGCCCATGCTCCGCTCCGCAGGACACATACATCCGGGGCACCGCGCGAGAGCAGCGCCGAAGGCCCCACCCGGGGGTTACAAGCGTTGCTCGAGGGGATTGCGGCACCGGGTCACGGCAGTCGCGAGTCGGCAGACGCGAGACGGTTAATCCCTGCCGGCACGGTGGAGCGCGACGTTGGTTCAAACTGCACGCGTGTTCACTGTTTTTGTTTTGCCAGTCCGTTTGGCCTTTTTATATGTGGGCGGGGTCTCTTGTTTGTAATGCCAGTGCGCGCCATCGTGGTGTTAGAAGTAGAGTGTATCGCGCGCCTTGCCGGGGGGGGGGGGGCGGGAAAGAGGAACCTCTTACACGTGTAATTAGCTTTCGCGGCGATCTGCTGAGGAAGGGGATCCTAGCGGCTCCGGCTCAGGTCGTGGGGCATAGCTCGGGTGTAAACGGGGTCTGGGGCGGGAGCCCCAGCCGGGGTCTGGGGCGGGAGCCCCAGCGGGGTGCGGGGCAGAGCCCCGCGAAGAAAATTTTGACGATTCTTAGCTCAAAATACACTAGATCTCCATCCAAATCGCAATCTCTACGAGCATCGATCGAGGATGAAGCGCTCGTTCCCAGTGGGGATCTCCCACAGCTGATCGGGCGGGTCGGCGCGCTGCGTCTGTACGCGCCGTGCGATGCCTTGGAGCGCGATCCGACCGGACCGTCGCACCACATCCAAAGCGGCGCCGCCACCGAGCGGCGCAACCAGCTGCATCTCCACGTTGATCATGCGCAGCTCGGACGAGTTGAAGGTGAGGACTGCGGGTCCCTCTGGCGCGGCGCCCTCCGCAGCCGCGCCTGCCTCGGCGGCGCCTCGCCCCCCGCGCCTACCGCCACCTCGCCCGCGTCCCCCACCGCCGCTGCCACCACGCCCCACAGCAGCAGCAGCAGCGGGCGTGGTGTCGGCGCCGGGGCGCCACGCCTTGAAGATCCGCCGCTCGTCGCCACCGCTCACGTCTCGATCGAACCACTCGACCTCGATCTCCATATCGCCGGGATCGTAGCGCACCCTCCCGCCTGTGCCTGCGACGCTGCCACCCGTCTGAAAGGGAGGCCTGAGAGCGACGGCGCGGCCGATCCAATACTGGTCCGGGTCGTCCTCGCCGCGGTTCTGCACCGCAACCCACACCGCGTTCGTGCTCTTCGCAAAGTGCACCTTCAGCTGATCTCGGAGGGATCTAGAGAGCTGGCGGGTACGGGCCTTGGAGGAGGCTACGCCGGCAGCGTCCGAGCGCGCCACGCTGGCGGGGAAGAGCGGCAGCTGCTGCAGGAGCAGCAGGAGCAGCAAGAGCTGCAAGGGACCGATCGGCGGTGACGCCGATCGACTGTGCAAAGGCCAATCGCTGCTGCTGCGCCAACGAGAGCGGCAACGCGAGGCTGCTGGCAGCTGGCAGAGCGAATCGCGATTCCGGCGGCCGCCGTCAGCCCGCCGACACCGACGGCCGAGCTGAGGTCAAACTCCTCCACACGTTGGACCAGCCATGCGTCGGCCACGGCGACGAGACGTCTGCATGCAAACAGCTCGCCACCCGGACGATTGAACATGCCAGCTGGGCTCTACCACTGGCTCTCGTGGCCCGTGGCGCGTGCCCGGGTGGAACAGGGCGGGCTGCGGTGGGCACAACTATTCACAGCTAATGAAAACTATAAAAACTCGCGTCTTCAACAAAGTTTGAGGTGTCTTCGTCCTCAGCACCATCAAGACAGCTCTATTCACACCCTTTTTGGTTTGAAGACACTCGGGGATGCCCGTTTACACCCAACCGACGAGTCGCTGGGCCCTCTGACCTGAGCCGGAGCCAGCCGAAGCGGCGCAACTCGAGGCCACCAGCAAGAGGAAGCCGCGCTCCGACAAGGGCAAGCCGAGGGGTCCTCGGGGGCCTAGGGCCGACTCGGTGGAGACGGCGGCCCGCATGGGGGTGCTGTCGACCTTCTACCTCCGGCACGCCTATGGACGGGACAGCCCGGGGCTGCATGAGGAGGACGGGGTGCTCTCCGCGAACGGGGGGGTGCTGTGCGCAGGGTGCGGGGAGGAGGCGCCCGGGCTCGGGGCGCGGGACGGGGAGGGGGGAGGCGGCGGAGGGGGCGGCGGGGGGCGGGTAGGGGGGGGCGTCGCGTGGTTGGATGCCTGCTCAAGGTGGTCGCGATGGCAAGCGATGACGAGGGATTCGCACTCAGCGTGACGAGCAAGCTCAGGGAGTTTATGGCGCTCGGATACCCTTCGCACGTGCTTAATGGGGCGATCGGGCGCACGTTTGCTCGGACGAAAGACGAGCGGCTCCTACGAGCAAGAATATGTTCGCACTGGTGAAGGACAGGCGAGCCAAAAAAAAGACAAAAAGACTCATCTAAGCATGTCGGAGAACCGTCCAAAGGCGGGTGCAGTCGACCAAGGGACATGATCTGTCGACAGCACGAATTTGTGATGGGACACCATCGGGACCCAACAGTGCGATACTTGGCTATCGCACTGTTGACGTACCGGCGGCTAAGGCCGAGTAGCCGGTGTTCACAGAGCTCTGTGAACACCGGCGAGAGATTTTTTCTCTCGACGTTTCTTCTGCGAAGAAACGTTCAAACACTCGGTGTCGAAACACCTCTCCGACGCGCTCGACTATAGTCTCCGGGTAGGAGCCGGAACCCTGAGCGGCCGCGCCAGCGTTTCGAGGGCTGGTATCACCGACTCACGGTCGACGACGCCTCTCCTTCATCTACTCCATCTTTGATGCGGCGGACGAAACGAGCCCGCGGCACGGCTGCCACATGCAGGTGTGCGGTCCCGATGGGGCGGTCACATGGCAAGAAGGCCCAGCTGCGAGCTTCTGGGCCGACGACCGCAAGCTTGCTCTCGGCAAGTCCTTTCGCGGTGTCGCCTTCTCGAAAATGGCCTCGCCAGCGGCCTTCGGCCGCTTCGTGCAGGACGGTTTCCAGCTCAGCAGCACCCGGCACCAGGGCGTGCTGCGAGATGGATCCGCCCGGTGGAGCTACGAGGTCGCGCCTCAGGCCGACGGCTTGTGCCCGAGCACAAGTCAGGTGAACGCTAGTCTCATTCTCTCTGCAATGGCTTGGTAGGTGGGCTGGGGCGGTCGGCTGGGAGACAAGCAGTATTCGACCGCTGGCTGGCTCACCGCCTTCCCCGTCTTTGAGCCCATGTATCAGGTGGTGATGGCGCACGGCCTCGCCTCGGGATGGGTCGAGTGGCGCGGAGAGCGGCGCGAGTTTAGGGACGCGCCCTGCTACACCGAGAAGAACTGGGGCGGCGCCTTCCCGTGGCGCTGGTGGTGGGTGCAGTGCAACGCCTTTGAGGCGCGCGGCCTCACGCTGACCTGCGCGTGCGGCGAGCGGTCCAACCCGCTGCTCGAGCCGCTGCTGCCGGGCCGCACCGAGGACGCCTGCATGGTGGCGCTGCACGACGAGTCCGGCAAGTTCTACCCCTTCCCTAACTGCGAGTGGGACGTGGAGTGGGGTCGCTGGACGGTGCGGGGCGCGCTCGACGACCTGCGCGTGCGGGTGGAGGCCACTTGCGACGCAGCGTGTTCAACTTCTTCTCTGATCGAAAGAATTTTACAACAATCTACAGAACTCGTTGAGCAGGCCGGGAGGCAGGTGATCCATCCCATCCCCCCCCCTCCCCCCCCTGAGTTTGTGTGTTCTTGTGTGTAAGTCGTTGTGTGGCTAGACAACACGCACGCACAACCACCCGCGTAAAGAGCGGCGTCTGAAAAATGAACTGCTTTCATACTACACTAGATACCACCCACCGCCCCCACACAGCAAGCAAAACAAGCCAAACAAATGCGGATTAGCTTTTCAGACATCAGAGGTTGAGCGACCAAGACGCGTTCACTGCGGCGCGAGCGCCTCCGGCGAGCGGACCTTCTGCTCGTCGAGGACGTTGCGGAGCGCGCGCTTCAGCACCTTCTCCGCGTGCCGCTTGAGCGCGGCGTCGTGGTCGGCGATGTGCTCGTGGATGAACGGGTTGCTCTCGCCCAGCAGCTGCTCGTCCGTCATGGACGCCATCGCGTGGTTGACGTCTCGGTGGTGCGACTCGTCGGCCAGCATCCGCTTGAGGCAGTCGACCCACCGCGCGTCGCTCGGCAGCTTCCAGTACTCGATCGCCTCGGCCGGTGCGAGGGTGGCGTGCCACGCGGCGTGCAGCCTTGTGCCGGGCGTCTCGGTGGTGTGCACAATGTTGGTGTAGGTGTGGACGGCTGTCTCCTCGAGGTAGCCGACGAAGCGGTGGAGCAGCTGCGGCCGGATCAGGTAGAGCGAGGCGAGGAAGGGCGTCATCGCCACCTGCCCCGCGCTGACCACCAGCCGCGTGACGGGGCCGGCCTCGAAGAAGTCCATGCAGACGATTAGGTGCATCCGCTCATTCTCGGCCTCCTCGAGGAGGGTGAAGATGAAGCCGTGGTCGCGCTGAAGCTGGCGGAGCGAGCGGAAGTGACGGAACATGCCTCCGAGCATGCCAGGCACGCCGGCGACCGACTCGAGGATGATGAGACGGTAGCCGATGGAGGAGGTAGGCGGGTCGGCGTGGTTGTACCCGGTGGCAAAGTTGAACGCGTGGTAGCAGAATCGGACGGTCTTCTGCAGCACGCTCTCCGATAGGCTCTGCGGGACGTGCTTGTCGTCGGCTGTGGCCATGCGCTCAACAATCTCCTGCTCGTCCCAGATGTGGTTCTGCTGCCTCCACGAATGGTCGCCGGTGAGGCCGCCGCCCTTGCCGCCGCTGCTGAGCAGCCGGGCGGGCGCGGCAAGGCGCTGGAGTCCAGAGAGCGGGCGAGCGCGGCCGAGCGCGAGGAGGGCCGAACGGGTCGTCATGGAGCGGGACGCGGAAGTCGAGCGGAGTCCAGAGAGCAAGCGAGCGCGGCCGAGCGCGAGGAGGGCCGAACGGGTCGTCATGGAGCGGGACGCGGAAGTCGAGCGGAGCATCGCGGTTGTGGAAGATGGCAAGCAGTTGTTCAGGGACGTCCGATAAGGTGAAACGCCGATTTTGCGGAACGCGAGCGGCTGCGTCCACGTCGCGCTCCCCCGACTTTGTTGCCGATAAGGTTGAAACGCCGACAGAGCAGTCCTCATGTATTGTTTGTTGGTCGAGTTGTGTGTGAGCGAGCGCGTGAGTCTTACTTACATACATATTGCAATACCTTACTTTACTTACTCCATCTAGCTAGTGCGAGCTAGCTGTGCGAAAGAATTCTAAAAGGTCACACACACACACACACACACACACACACACACACACACACACACACACACACACACACACACACACACACACACACACACACACACACACACACACACAACAGGGATCAGGGTTCTCTCTCTCCGAGGATTTGTTTGTTCTCTCTCAACAGGATGTGAGAGTTTTGAGAGAGATTTTTTAGCAATACCAAACAACTTGTTTCGAGTTTTGTCGCCGCGATCTGCAGTCTTCGACTCAAAAAAATCTCCACGAGGTGCGAGGGCCGCATTTCTCGTTTCCGGATTCCAGGGAAACTAGAGGGCGTTTGGTGCTCCCACTGGAGCCAGTCTCGAGTTTCCATCGGTGTCACGTGTGGTCCAAATGTGGGATGTGGGGGAAGAGAAAACCTGCCGGCCCGCCGCAGGAATGTGGGATGTGGGTCCTCCGCCGCCGGGGAGAGCCCTCTCCACCACCCTCGCCCAGGGATCTACTGAGGCTGTCTTAAGGTCCGACAGGTTCGGCACCGGGGCACCGCCTCGGTACACAAAATCCGCCTGCGGGCCGACCCTCACAGCTCACAGCAAGTAGCAAGTCTCACAGCTCACGCGGGTATTTTGCCGATTTCGCTGATCACATGCGTGCGTGCCTGCCACCCTGGTGCATGATCGAGTGCTGAGGCGTTCGATCAGACCGCGCGGGGTGGAGTCAAAATGCCACTTCTGCCGTGCTCGTGCCATAGCCTCGTGCAAGCCGTTATAACTGGTCTGAGTCCGCGCGACTGCCGGGTCCGGTCGTTCTCAGTGACTCTGCTCCTCGCGAGTTCACGGGTAGAACAGTAACGGTGCTGATGTGCCCAAATCACGGCATTGACTTCTGTCCCAGTGCGAGAATGCAAAGGAGAATGTCGATGCGGCACTGGACCAGGCTGTTTGCGCAAAGGAGTGAGTCGACGTAGACTGCCATTTTGCGAGGGATCTCTTTCTTGTCCTCGCAGTAGCCTCCTCCCGGCACAGCGATGAGACCGTTTGCCGCGTCCGTTGCGTCAGGGTGAGTGGAAGTCGCACGCGCTTGACACGGCATCTGCTGCCCGGGGACGGAGCGCAAGGGGGGGTCGGCCGCTTCCCGTTTGTCGCACCCGTTACTCACTCATCCCCCCCCCCGCCCCCCGCCCCCCCACCCTTTGGTTTTTCAGTGTACGTACTTTTAGCTTACTGGGAGAAAAGAGATGTAGCTCTTACGTACATTCCCGGAGGAGGACTGCTGACGGGGTTTTTTGGCAAGCCTTTCAAAAATAAAATGAACTCGGGGTCACGGGACGCGGCACAAACGGGGCACAAACGCCAGGCTACAAAGACGGGGAGGCACGTAGTGACGCAGGGGAGTCAAGCCTTTTCCTGGGACCACCTGGCTCAGAAGCTAAAGATGTTCACGCACGGCCCCCCTCCGTCCGTATGGATGGGAAGCCCCGGGACTCTTTATTTATTTAGGTGTACAGGCAGTCATGACTCATTACACCTCCCCTAAGAGCAATTTTTTCTCGTCAATCAACGGACTTGCCCCCCCCCCCCCCCCCCAGCTGCAGTGGCAAACCTCTCCCGTGGTTTAGAATCACACAAACCAAATAACAACAACCACAGTTGTTGTTTTCGCGCGCTCTCTCTGCGTTTGTTGTCTGTGGGAGAGAGATTTTTAGCAATACCAAACAAATCTAATCTTTGTTTGTCTGTGGAGGGATGAAAGGTGGCGTACAAAGGGAATGAAAGGAAATTGGTTAAAAGGGAAATCAGGGCGCGGAAATTCTTCTCTCGCACAACACTGTGTTGTGCGAGGGAGTTGGGTTGTAAAATTAGCAGTCCTCCTCCGGGAATGTACGTAAGAACCACATGTACTAAAAAAATCCTACCGACAGGCCCACAGATTCTCTTTATACGTATGTGTGGGCGGGGTCTCTTGTTTGTATGCGCCTCTATGTTACTCGGCAGTCTCTCTTTATATGTGTGGGCGGGGTCTCTTGTTTGTATGCGCCTCTATGTTACTCGGTCGCCGACCATTTGGATTTGCATGCGACTTGCGTGTTGCGAGAGCGGCGCTGCCGCGGAGAACCTGAGATGTGAGAAGTGAAATATCGGCTTTGCATGTGCATGTAATACAGTGTAAAATACAAACCGTGTGTGTACGAAAAGGCAAGGCGAGGCGGATGGAGAAAGAAGTGCCGAGGAGGCCATGGTGGTGGGAGGGGAGGGACGGGAGGACGAAAGCAAAGAAGGGCGCGGAGGACGAGCGGCCCGCACAGGCCGCCGCGAGCAGAGCGCCTGCTGGCCATTTCGAGACATTCGCAAAGAACGCTAGCTACATGGGAGGGCTTCGTGAAGGATTGGATTGAAAAACATCGTTCGAACAAAGAAGAGGCGACGGGAGGAACCGGCAGAGGATGCAGTGACGTGACACACACACACACACACACACACACACACACACACACACACACACACACACACACACACACACACACACACACACACACACACACACACACACCGCTCACCCACGCGCACCGGGCCTTGCACTTTGAATGCCGTGCGGGGCTCCTGTCGTTAGACGTGGAGACGCGAGGGTTGTGCCCCCCCTCTTGCGCCCCACCACACCTCGTGAGTGTGGAGAAGTTTACCTTACCTTACCTTACCTGTACGATCGCCAATCGCGCTGTATGTGCCATCAGGATTCAGTGAAAATGATACAGATGGACATGCACTTGCACATGCACATGCACATGCGCATGTGCAACAACATGTAGCATGTGCACCGTCGCTCTTAGATATATCTCAGAACGGTCTCGCGGAGTCACCGCACGCGCACCTGCACGATGCGTGCACCTCCCCCGTTGAGGTTCTGCCCGATGCGCAGCCGCTTGTCCAAGTAGAGGCCGTCGAAAAGGCCAACCCCCTGGATAGGCAGAGGTGCGCACACGCCACCCTCGTCGACGTCGCCGCCAAGGCACAGGCTGCCGCGCGTGATGTCTGCGCGGAAGCGCTTCGGCGCCGCGGTGACGGCCTCGTCCTGCAGAAGGGGTGAGGATAAGGGAGCTGCAGGGGACGGCCTAGGGAGGACTCCCAGCTCTCCTGTTCCGACAGCGCGCCGCCGACGCGCACCGCGAGCGAGGGCCCGAGCAGCTCGCCGACGTTCGTGACGCTGGACGCGCCGAACACCTGGAGAGAGGCGGCGGCGTCGTCACAATGTGCGGCACACCGGGACGCTTTGTCTTTGTTTGGTGCCGGCCTCTCGAGTTTGCGTGTCCGTCCTCAACTGTCCGCGTGCAATGTGGTGTCGTTGTGTGATGAGTGGAGAGGAGTGGAGAGGAGGGTCTCTTGGCGCAGGTTCGTGGTGTGGGCGAGCGGTTCCTGGAAGTTGTCGTTGAAGGGCAACTCTGGGAAGGGAACCCTCCGGTCGACGCCTGCGCCGTCCGGCCCTGGCAGCAAGTACGCCAATCGCCACACGCCGCGCAGGTCCGACTGGCGCCACGGTGCGCGCAGCGCCGCCACCTCCTCCACCAGAGCGTCGATCGCGGGCCGCTCTGCCGCCGTCCAGTCCGACGGGCGGCGTGCTGCGACCGCCTCGTACAGCCGCGAAGGCGCCTGGGAGGCGGGCGGTGCCGCCGCCGCCGCGACGGGATGTAGCAGGAGGCTGCCGAGCACGCGCCTCGTCAAGAGCCGAGGCTGAGAGACGGCAGCTGCTGCGTCGGCGGCGAGTAGACTGGTGGTGGCGCAGGCTAGGTCGATCGCGAGCAACAGCAGCGCAGGCGATTGCGAATATCTGCCCGACGACGGCGCCATTGTGTGTGCCCTGGGCCTCGGCGACCCCCCTCGCGAACCCTGTATTGTACTTTTTTTTAACAGTAGGTGTGAAGGTGAAAAAAATAAACTTCAGTCCGTGCTAGTGAACTGAGGAGAAGCGGGTCGAGCCTCGGCGCAGAGGGCAGCCTAGCGGGCGGGAACCCTTACCCCGCGCCTTCTGCTGACCGCCGTTTTGTACGGCGGGACCTCCGAGCGCCACGAGGCTCTCACACCGCTCTCGACTAGCGTCGGCTCCTGCTCAGACAGGCGCCTACCTTTCAGTTCTCAAAGCGACCCACCACCACCCCTCATCTACCGCCCGATCGAACCGCATTCGTCTCTTGCGAGTTCCTCTTGCTCCAAGAGGTTCCAGAGAACGGGGAAACTCTGAGCTCCCTCCGCGTACGCTACGCTCCCTTCGGAGAGAGCCCCAGAGTGTCTTACCGCGCTCCGGATCCTCTTTAGCCCATCTCTGAGAGTTAGAGTGACTGGCTAGAGACGACGACGACGATACACAGTTCATCTGAGCATCCAGCGTGAGGTGGTATGTAAATAGCTTCGAAGATGAAAGAAGGACCAAGCGCACCAGTGACACAAGGGACCGTTCTACTAATCAAAATCCGCCCACAGGGGCTGCCCGGGGCTGGGAATAATCGGCTTTTCGGACCGGCCCCGATTTGCCGATATCCCCGCGCCCGTCGGAATTCTCATCCCGGGACGCGGGAGCAGGCGGACATCGCTTCCAGGGAGGGGGGCGCACTTCTACTCACGACCCCCCCCCCTAGCATGTGGTGAAGCCTCTGGGGGGGGGTCGGACCTCCCCCCCTAGCATGTGGTGAAGCCTCTTAGCATGTGGTGGGCACCCCCCAGCAGTTCGTGGGCTAGGAATAGCCGCCAGAGAGCCGATTTTGCTCCCAAAGTTGTGAAATCGTGGCTGAAAGTCCAATATCTTGGGGAATCTGACCAGTCTCAAGGCTCATGTAGCTCCAAGGATGATTTTCCCCTCATAAATTGCTGCGAACTGAGGCGTAAAATCAAGGGCCCGGAGGGCCTGACCACGAGTCTCTGGGGGGGTCGACCCCCCCCCCCCCAGGCATGTGGTGAAACCTCTGGGGGGGGGTCGGACCTCCCCCCCTACCATGTGGTGAAGCCTCTGGGGGGGGTCGGACCTCCCCCCCTAGCATGTGGTGAAGCCTCTGGGGGGGGTCGGACCCCCCCCCTAGCATGTGGTGTGAGTAGAAGTGCGCCCCCCTCCCTGGAAGCGATGTCCGCCTGCTCCGGGGGCTCTCTCGGCTACGGACGGCCTACGGGACCGGCCCCAGCTTCGGCTGAGGTAGAGACCGACCGACAAGCTTGCCGAGCCTGACCTCCCGAAGGCGATGCGTTAGATGCGCGAACCGCCAAGGAGCGGTGCCGGTGGGGTCCTCACCCCGGCGGCCCACGCACGCCGTCTGAGCCTAGCGCAGCGTCCGGGACACGTCCGCGACGTGTCCGAGACATGTCCCACAGGCGGCCGCAAGAGACGTCTGGCTCACGATGGCGCCTCTCGGAGAGTTCAGCGGCGGCGGCGACCTCAACGCCCTCGCCGCGGCCGAGGCGGCGGCGCGCGCGGCGGCGATGCAGCGCGGCATCTGAGGTGTGGGCGCGGCGCGGCAGCGCGGCGCACACCCATCGGCCTCCGCCCCGTCGCCGCTGCTGGGAGGCTAAGAGGCGTTGGAGTCTCCGTCTCGAGCTCTTGCGGAGCGGGCGAGCTGCGTGTAACAGTTGAGCGAAGACTCTTTGTCTTTGAGTTTGTACCTTGTTTGTGTCGTCGCCGTGTCGGGTACACTGACAACAGTAGGGATACAGTAATTTCGACGAACCGCGGGACCGGCCGGGCCACCTTTGAGCATGTATCCCCTCTATCTATCTATCTATATCCCCTACCACCAGAAGCGTGCCGTAACTTGTTGCTAACTTCCGTAACGTCAACCTGTGACGTTGCCCCTCCGCGCGCCCGCCGCCCGCGTCTCATGCAGCGGACAGGTCCGCCGTCGGTCGTTGTGGATTCGGGCCGAGAACCAGCTCAGAGCCCTAACGCAATGGCTGGGGCGTGGGCGGACACTGCGCACCCTACCCCCCAAACAGCCGGAACCCAACTACGAGTGCCAGGCACCACTGGTACGCAGGACTGCCGCGTGTTATGGCCGAGGTCGAGGCCCCGCTGCCGTTACTCACCTTCCTCGCCGAGGTTGTGGGCCCGCTTGGCGCGCCCTTTTGGCCAGCAGACTACAGCAAGCGGGCCGCAAGTGAAAGCACTGCCGCCGCCTCCTCCTCTGCCTCCCATGCAGACTCCGTCGCGGCTCTCATCGGCAAGGCCAGTAGCGGCCAGGCCAAGGTTGGCCAGGGCCTCTGCCGCGTGGACGACCTCCTCGTGCAGCGCGGCCACTGTAAGACAAAAAAGGATGCGAAACAGCTGATCAAGGCCGGGCATGTGCGCGGGGCTGGATACGTGACGCACAAGGGTGGCAGCGTTGGATGGTCCCAGAGCGGTGCGGAGCTCAAGGACGCCAGCCAAAGGTTGCCCCTCAACGCGCGTCTCGCTCTCTCCCCCGACGGCCAACAACTGGTCAGGATCCTGGCGGCCGGCACGGAGATGCGCGAGCAGCAGCGCAAGGCCGAGGAGGAGCAGGAGCAGCTCATGGCGCCCTCGCGGTCGTTGCCAAACTCGGTGCTCGCAGAAATCGTCGCCGAAACACGCGCCGAGCCCCCGGTTGAGGCGGAGTGCAGCAAGCCAGGCCCGAGCGGAAGCACCTCCAACGCTGCCGCCGCCTCCAACGCTGCCTCTACCGCTGCCTCCACCGCCGCCTCCACCGCTGCTTCCACCACCGGCTCGAGCGGAAGCACCTCCGCCGCCGGCTCCTGTGCGGCCGCCGCAGCCCCAGCAGGCGGCAGTTCCCTCCCAAGCAGGCGGAAGTCGTTTGAGGCGGAGATCGTCGCGATGATCCGTGCCGGCGGCGGCCGCGCCGTGCCGTTTAATGAGCTCCTCCCCCGCCACCGGACGCACTACCAGCTGCCGGAGCAGCTGCGGCTCCAGGATTTGGGATGCAAAAGGTTGCGCGATCTCGTCGCCGCGCTTCCCGCACTCCGGCTCCAACCTCAGCGCGCCGGCGGGAGGTTGCCGGGGGGCTCGCATAAGCCGCTGCCGCTTGTGGAGCTTGCCCCTGCATTCGCCGCCCCTGACTCCGCCGCCCCTGCCTCCGCCGCCGCCGCCGCCGCCGCTGGCTCCGCCGCCGCCGCATCCGCCGCCGCCGCCTCCGCCGCGGCAGCGGTGGTGGCGGAGGCTGAGGGTTTGCGATTGCACCTCTCCAGCAAGAGCAGCACCGGGTACAGGGGCGTGTTCAAGGATTCTGGCCGCTTCGGGGCGCGGTGCAGCGTGGATGGCAAGGATGTTTACCTTGGCTGTTTTGACACGGCGGTGGAGGCGGCGGTGGCGTACACGCGGGCAGTCGGCGAATATCAGCCTCCCACAGCGACGGCCTCTGCCTCTACCGCCTCTGCCTCTACCGCCTCTGCCTCTACCGCCCCTGCCTCCGCCGCCGCTGCCTCTGCCGCCTCTGCCTCCGTCGCCGCTGCCTCCACAACGTTCGCGCAGATGCCTCAGGCCGAGGCGCCGCTCAACAGCCTCGGCCTGCCGCTGCGGCCCGGTGCGAGCCCGTGCGCCTTCTACGTGCAGCACGGCGCGTGCCGGTTCGGCTCGAGGTGTCGGTACAATCACCCGGAGCCGACCCAGCTGCGGCAGATCGAAACGCTAGAACGGCAGATGCTGCGGCCCGGGTGGTCGCCGCAGAAGACCGATCAGCGACGGCCCGCCGAGAATCTCTTCAAGACGAGGGTCTGCCGCAACTGGGAGCGCGATGGGACATGCGCCGACGGTGCGAATTGTCGGTTTGCGCACGGAGAGCGGGAGCTGCGGGCTCTCGCGCGGGAGCCGCCGCCGCGGCTATGGCGCGTTGATTACCTCCTCGTGCAGCACGGCCACTGCAAGAACAAAGAAGACGCGAAACAGCTCGTCAAGGCCGGGCGTGTGCGCACGGGCTTACGCGGGGAGGTGGTCAAGGCCCCCGGGCAAAAGCTGCCTGGCGACGCGCGTCTCGCTGTCACCCCCGACGGCCAACAACTGGTCGGGATCCTGGATGCGGGGCCCGCGGCGCTCAAGCCCGCGCCCGCGTGCGTCGTCTGCGGCATGCAAGGGGTCATCGCGTCCCATCACATTCGCGACTGCCCCGCCGTCGCCGCCGCCGGCAGCGATGCCGCCCAGGAGCAGCTGATTGAGCAGTCGCGCGCCCAACGCAAGGCCGTACAGCAACGCGTCGTCAACCTCCTCGTGGCACGCGGGCTCTGCAGCTCGAAATCCGCCGCCAGCAAGGCGATCAAGGAAGGGCGGGTCACAAGCGGCGGCGAGACGATCACCGTGATGGTCCCCTTTTTGGCGCCCGACGCGCCCCTCAGCGTGGCAGCTGCCGCCACCTCCCTCCGTTCAGCCGACAAGCGTCCGCCGCCGACAGCCGAGCCTCCCAGTGCGTCTGCTACCAAGCATGCGCGGCCGGGACCGGCACCGTCACCGGCAGCAGCGGCGGCTCCGGCGGCTGCAGCGGCACCGGCAGCGGCACTGGCGGCAGCAGCGGCGCCGGGACCGGCCCCGGTGCCGGTGGCAGCAGCGGCGCCGGGACCGGCACCGGCGGCAGCAGCGGCAGCGGCAGCGGCAGCGGCAGCGGCAGCGGCAGCCGCAGCACGGGCGGCTCCTGCGGCAGCAGCACGGGCGGAGTGTGCCGTGCCACCGCCGCCGCCGTCGTCACCGTCGCACTCACCGCCAGCGGTGCCGCCGCCGCCCCCGTCGTCGCCGTCGCGCTCACCGCCAGCGATGCTCGAGTTTGGCGACCCGCTGCAGGAGGAGCGGGCTGCGATGCGAAGCGTCAACTTCCCCGCCGGGGCGTCGGAGGGGCGCGCAGGCGGCCCGG